CATTAATAATGTAGGATGTGAAGTTTAACTGTTTTAAATCATCCCAATGATGCCAGTTTCTGGACAGTTTTGGTGTGTCCATCTGCACCTGTCCCCACCTCATGACTATGGTACCCCTCTCTGTAAATAGCCATAGGTGTCCCTGCAACACATGTCAATTGCTGGACACTGCATCAGTGGTGAAAGTGATTGAACCCCACTGGAGGTTTTTAAGTCCTGTGAATGAAAACTAGAGGCGACTTAATTGCGGCCTCACCAATGAATGTTGTGCAAGCAGAGTACCCGTACCCAGAGTACACAGCAGGATTTTTTCACCTTCACTCTTTGTTTTTTTTCTAGAATTTCAGCTTCCATTTTTTAAATCATGCCTTAAATGTCACTGACTGATCAGAATAGGATTGCATCTCTTTATTATACAGCAGTAATTGGTTAGCAATATTTTATCACTGAGGCGGTATCCAGAAGACTGTAATTGTTAGTAATTGTTATCATTCCTGGTGTGACTAGGCCTGTAGGCCAGTTCCAAAGTGAAAAGAAATATGATGTGAATTTTAAACTGCCACAACTGTTGCTTCAAGGCCATTAACTTTGTAGGTGACTATCTGTTGATGTTTAATAAAAGGAAAAACAAAACACTTTTTATCACAATCAGCTTCTGATGGACTTATTTCATGCATCGCTATAGAAGTCGGATAGTGTGTCACATTTGATTACTGCTCCATTCATTATGTACCAGACACAGAATCCCGGTCAGACGCACACACAGAGTGAGAGTGAGATGGAACATCCTCAGTGACACTGTGCTTTACTTATTAATGATGTTAAAGTTAAATGTCTTAAAGTGTTATGCCGGGGATCAGTTTTAGACATCAAAGATTAATGTCATGATAAGGAAGGGGTGAAAGCTGATTTCCTCCACCACCTTTACATCATACATTCTGGCCCCACATCTTCCATGATAGAGGCATATTGTACTTGTCAAAGCACTGTGAAATAATGTAGTTATTATATACAGAACAGGTCATCTATATTTCTCAGTGAGCCAATGTTTGTTATGTAAGTGAAAACTTGTATGCCCAATTTATGGCAACAGACTGGCCCAAATGCCCAAGAATGACTTTTCATTAAGTTATCTTCTGAGGTAAGGAGAAGCAATCCTGAAAACTGGGTGAAATTCACAATGCCACTCCCTCCTCTCATCTCACACGCACTGAGGAGTTAAGAGGGCCACCTCTTGATGTCTTTGTCTATGGCAGGACTGCACCCCGATGTCAGTGTGCAGGGCTTGGTCTCCTGTCTTCCTGTTTCCGCTCCATACAGAAGGTATGAGGAGCCCCATCTAATAATGATCCTGCACTTAACCTGTCATCCTCTCAGCTATATGAATGTCCTCTTAAGCTCACAGAAGAGTAAAGAATAGAAAACCTTAATTTGAAAGCCAGACTGAAACCACGGAAACTTCATCTGAATGCAGCACATCTCAATATGTATGCTTCCTTTGTCGCAAGAGGATCTTAACCTGTTTTTTCAGAGGGGATAAAAAATGTACTTGAAATGACAGTGGACCATTTTAGATTTCTAAAAAAGAATTTACTTCCTTCCTCCATTATCCCTCACATGTACCGGGACATTTTTTGCAGGCACGTATTAGATTTGTAATTCATCTGCAGTTTAAGAACCTCGCTCGCTTTTTCCAAGTAGCATAAATCATTGCTTGGGTATGAGTAATGTTATGTGGGGCTCAAATGAAGGCAGAGGTGAAAATTTCATTCACAAGTCCTCAGAGCAGACTTGCCATCACCAGCTCTATTTTTGTTAGTGATGTTCAGGGAAAAGGGAATGGCAAAAAAGGGAATGAGCTCAGTCACGTTGAATTTCTCCCATCTCATTGTAGCTCTCATTACATCAATGATAAAGGCACTACCCTACTTGGTAATGGATGACTCCTCTGTTTAAACACTTATATTAAACACCCAGATTAAATATAATACCCATGTTGAGGTTGTCTTCCATAATGAAATTAAACCTGTGATTTAGGTATAGAATAGTGGAGAACTAGATACAACCCTTCTGTGAGTAACCTTGGATGTCTGGCGTATGCGGGAAGAATCTTTTGACACTAATACCCTGAGACACAAAACCTGACTTGATCAAATTTGCATCAGGAAGCAGGCTTATCAAAAAAGCAGGCTTTTATTTTTTTTTTAACCTAATATTGTTGCCCTTGTAAGCTTAATTACATGATCAGGGCCTACTCATTTACTATCAATTTTACTGATTTTGTGGCAAACGGATGTGCACAGAAATCACACAAGAAATCCTCAAGACAGGAAAGAAAGACAGGATGCCAGGCCATAGAAAGGCTACTACCCTTATTCACCTCTATAATCTCGTTAGTGCCATGGTGTGCTAAGCAGAAATACAGTGGATTCAAATGTGACAAACAGTCAATTTGAATTGTGAACCAGCTATATACTGATATCAGGAAGGATGTTCTACCTGGCTATTGGAGTATTGTCCTAACAGGGGACTCAAAAGGCAAGGTATGCTAATATTAGCCTGCACCTATATTTAAAATGGCAATAGCAGATGGAAATGTCAAGACACAGCTATCAAAGACAAACTACCAAGAGTAACAAACAGGCTTCCGTCGAGAGGTAGGAACACACAAATAAAGGCACAGCAGAAAACCAAAGGGCCATCTTTAGCGGCTCTTATTTATAGAGTGAACACACTGTACTTACTCAACTCCCATGCATGTGTGCCGTTCTCTCCCTCGCAGGTTAAGGACAGTTTGGTCTGTGCTCTACAATGTTCTGTATGGTGAAATCCTGGCCTCTCTCCCAACACAGTAGCTCACCACAGAGGTTTTGCTGACCCTGAATTTTGAACAGATAATGTATGAATTAAAGAAATTAATAAAATCACAGTGAGATAACATCAGATCTGAGAGGATATGTATTTTTAGCATGTGGTTTTGTTTAACTAATGAGCGTTGTCTCCTTTTCACTGTCTCAGGAGTCTGTAGGAGGAGGATTCTACAGCTCCCTCACTGCCGCATTTAAGATGGAGTAATGCAACTCTGGGTCTGCTTTAGAGTGTGCTCACATACAACATTTGTGGCTGCCTTCAGATCATGACATAAATGGCAAGATGTGGATTCTCACCTTGTTTTGTCCAGGAATGGAAAGATAACCATTGTTCAATTCAAATGCAATTAGAATGGTGCGTGACCCATTTTCATCACGCACCATCAGAGACAGAGTGTAAAGGTCACTGCCTTCATGCAGGAATGAAAACAAGCTTTAACATCTCCTACAAGCCTCCAGAAAGGTTGTTCAGAAATTGAATGGCAAACCAACCTCAATCAAATAAGCCTGCAAAAGTAATTACTGTTTCATTCAAAGTGTAAGTGCATATGGAAATTCACCCTTTCTCATTTGACTGTTCTGGACATCTCTGACTGATTTTATTCTCTCTCAACCACCCTTGGTTGCACAAACAGCCGGACACTGTGAGTTTCAAGAGTCCTGCTTTCCTGTGTTGGCCTGGCTGTTGATTTCATCCCAGAAAACAGAATGGTAAAAAACAAACGCAATGTCTTTGTTTTGTTGATTTTTATCTATTTTTTTACTACCCATATAAACACAACTCAAATACATCAGAGTTGAAACCATACTTTACATACTATATACAAGTATGTTTTAAATATCAGAATTGGATCAATGCAGGACACTTCTCCTGAAGGTGTGAAACTAAAATCATTTGCCAGATGACAAGTGAGCAGGTGAAATTATTGGCATCTGCTGTATTCCTTTTTTGTCTGGTTCTCACTGTGCCCCTGGAACAGGCCGTTGTTAGCGATATCGAATACCTGTGGAAGCTGCATGTAGCAGGAGGAGCCCCAGCAGTGGGGACCCAGCGGGGGATGTCTGCTGAGCACCGCGAAGCTGCCGAGCAGTGAGAGAGATCTGAGAGCCACTCGTGTCAGGGAGGACGCACTGACCAGGATTCTCTGTACTCTGTACATATCTGTTTCATTTCCTTCACCAAAAAAACCCAAAACAAAAACAAATCAAAGGACAAATTCCCCCACTCTGCTCAAAGCCCTATGTCAAGCCACAGATTGATTATTGTGAACTTACGGCATTACAGTGTTTTTTTTTCTTCCACTGATGTGAGGACTGAAAGAGGGAAAAAACAGATCATGAATGGGCTCCATCTTGATAAACTGAAAGGCATACATTTGGCATGGGAACAAAAATACTGAAAAGGATGACAAGTGTTCCATGTTGTTGACAGTATAGACAGGCGATAAATGTCAAAAAAGTGGAGAAAAGGCAGGGAGTGCTCTAAAGACCCCCATTAGTTTTATATCGTTGACAGACTCTGTATGAATTATTTCCTAATGCTGCAACAGAAGCAGCATCAAACAGTCTACCAGTCATGCAGTTGTGATTGTGTTATATTTCATACAAGCAGGACAGACTGCAAGTAGTAAATGCTGGTACTCTAGCATGCCAACACAGATTAAGTGGCAGCATGGAGGGCTAGTTAAGGCTACAAAAGTACAAACGGCTAGAAACCAGAGGGATGTGGATTCAGTTGTCAAACAAATGAACAGTGCTCTGTCTCCTTGGCAAGATGCAGCTCCTTATCCAGTGTGATTGCCTCACATTAATTAATCAGCCTTTGTTCACTGGAGAATGAATATTTTCTATGATTTATTATGATATATGTTTATAAGAATTTGGCAGTCATGTAACATTGTTTAACTATCGTTAACCAGAGCTAGATGATGCAGGTGCTTATATGAACGTTCTTTCCATCACTGCACCCTGGGACTGTGAGATTAACAACAGAAGTGACAGCCATCACAATATGAAATCATTTGTCTGCAAAGATAGTGTGCTATATGAAGGGGTTTAGCTGGGTTGAATAACCCTGTGTACTTCTAGAAATTTCCTCCTGCCTTGCGGCAAATTCTTGTACTGTGGTGCAGCATCGTGGCTCAGTGGTTAGCACTGTTGCCTCGCAGCAAGAAGGTTCTGGGTTTGAATCCCAGCCGTCCCAGGTCCTTTCTGTGTGGAGTTTGCATGTTCTCCCCATGCTTGTATGGGTTTCGGCCGGGCACTCTGGTTTCCTCCCACCATCGAAGACATGTATGTCAGGGTTAATACTCCTGTCAGTGCCCTTGACAAAGGCACTGGCAAAAGAGCTGGAGTTGGTCCCCCGGTGCTGCACTGTGGCTGCCCACTGCTCCTAGTGTGTGTGTGTGTGTGTGTGTGTGTGCTCACTGCCCACTGTGTATAGGCTGGGTTAAATGCAGATGGAGATCCCCCATGGGGATCGATGAAGTATCTGATTATTGTTATTATTATTATTTACAGTGCTACTCCTTAGCAGTTTGATATCTGTACAACAGGCACAGCACATGTATGGTATTAGTGGGGTAACTGAAGAACACAGAATAGACAGGCTACATCCACATCCTGAGGCATGTGAGTTCTCCTCTTCCACGTCTGGAAATAGATTCCCAGGTTAGTTCTAGGGCCATTTGTGCAGTGGCCTCTATACCCCTACAGACATCTTTCCATTTGTGCTCTTCAAGTGCCACATGAACTTTTCATCGCTGGAATAACTTGTTATCCACTTTTTTCCCAGTGCAGGGAAAGCAGGGGTACTGCTGAATAAAGCTCTGGTTAGGAGGTCCCTTCAGGCTAATCTACCCCAGAGTCTAAAAGGAGTCTGTATTCCAACAGTACCGTAATATTCTCTAAAGAGAATGTAGAAAAAAGAGAGAAGGGTGGTGTATCACTTGAAGGGATTCCAGGCTGTTTTTGTTCTTTTACAATAGCAGAGACTGAAGAAACCTGTGTGAATGAGGTCCAGTCTGCCCACCTGCATCCACACCCAACAAAACAACCAAAAACAATTTCTGTGTACTGATTTCATGGGGAAAAACATGGCCCCATTACACAGGCTATAACCTGTGTGCTCCCTGATTTGAAACCCTCCCTGTCACAGACAAGGCATGATTCTTTCATGAGCACTGGTCTCTTATATTCTGTCGTCTTATAGTCTCACTGTCTGGCACTTCACAGGCATTTTTTGCTCTCAGTGAAAAAAGACAATGATTCTTCCCTCTTCCACCTCTGGTCAATGTCAAAAGAACTAGAATATAATGAGATGCAGAAACACCCTTTTGAAGTTAGTCATGCTTGTGCTCATGGGCTGTGGCTCCCAGAGCCCGGACACTGTCAACGACAATCATGTTTGAGAAGTGTACTTAAATCCAAGTTTTGTGCTTAAAGGTTCTGGATTACTTGCTTTACTTTTCTTCTGTGGACATGCTGTTATGACATCAGCTCTGCAAGCAGAAAACCATCCATTCAAGATTCACTCCAATTAGCAAATGAGCTTTCCCCTGCATCCCACAAAGCCTTTCCATTCTTTTATTTTTTTCCATTTGCTGCACAAAAAAGCGTTTTTCTCTCTCTCAGTTTTCAAGGGAAACAAAAGACAAACAATCGGAACAACACACATGCAGGACATAATCTTAGAGGAGCTCATTAAGAGAGCCGCTGAGTGTTCCCCAGAACAAAGGTCACTTGGTTGATTGCACACACAGGTACTGTACCGAACATCCTTTGTGTCCCGCTGGCACTCCTTCCGCTTTAAGCTGCATTTGCAGTGCGGCTCTGCTTCGGTCTGAAATGCTTGACAGTACAGGAAATATTCCAATTAATATTACCATATATTTTAATTAATCTGACCCATTATTTCCAGAACATTTAGCATTGCTAATTTTGAGATATATTATAGAGGGCACACATCTAGAATAAAGTCAGACTCTGGGCAATGGAGTGAAAAACTGTTTTTTTTGTGAATTTTTTTTTTTTTACTTTCTGCTGGCGGGCTTCAAATGCATCTCTGTTTGTTATGTAAAATATTTTTGGATGCTCCTCACATCAAAGTATGCCTATCACAAAATGATTAATGCAACATGGTGAATGGAATGCTTTATTAGTCAGCTTTCCGCTTCAGTGAATTCATCTCTCAATCTTCTGATTTCATTTAAAATTTTAGGAACCTTTAGGAAGTCCTCCTTCCAAAATCACATACACTGTACCTGCACAGCCTTTTCACAGCTAAAATGAGTTCCACTAGACCTTAGAGGGCTAATTAAAATTGGCAGAATAATGCAAATGTAACAAATGTTTCACAGTCCAGTACTAAACTAAAGCATATTTCTTTACTATAGCTGCATATTACAGATTTTCTTCAGTTAAGCCTGACGCACAATACAGTAAAAAGTAAAGTGAATGTTTACCCAGCTTTCAGTGCTGTGTATGAAATGGTTATTTTTTACATTCCCACAGGAAGCTTGTGTCAGATGAGGGAAGACCTTGTGAGTTTAAATGCATTCATATTCTCTAACTCTCTCTAACTCAAGGACAGCAATGGATTAATTCCCTCTCAAAAGATTCAGAACAGTGAATGGACAGCATTGTTTTTCATTTCCTGTCCTCATCTACAGTCAAATTCTGTAAAGTTTGTTTGTGTCTATGTGCAGGTATGTGAGTTGCCAATGCTTTGTTACAATCTTCCACCCATACATTTCAATGCTGAGGTCTATGATGACAAAAAGCTGTCAGCTCTGCAAAGAGTAAGGGGCAATAAGTGTTAGAATGGAGCATGTTGCTATAATGTTGCTAATACACACATTTGACAAAAAATCTGCAAAGCTTATGCGTTGTCAGCATTTTGGTGGCTTGACGTTGTGTGGGTCTCACCTACTTCCACTTCATCATGCCCCTTACATGATGTAGCCAAGGTCACACTGTCTTTTTTTCATCAAACAAAGGCCATCAATTACATTATTCAAAAGGCACAAGGTAGACCCCCAGGGGAGGTTTAGAAACATGAACACAGAGATGTGATATAGAGGAAAAAAGACATCAAGATCCATGGAAGTCCTCAGTTCAGACAAGAGGCTGGGAAAGAACTTGGAACTGTCAATCTCCATAAAAAATTCTCAGTGTACATTAATATGTCCAATGTACATTACAATCAAAATTAGCTATCAAATCATATCATTTCATTTGATATCTAAATGAGGTTAGAAACAATTTGGCCAATATTACCTCACCCAAACTAACAGGTACTATTCCAAAGCAATGCTTACACAGTATCCCAAAATCTTTAATGTAATTTGGCCTGTGATGAAGTCAAACAGGCCCCTCCTTCCTCATGCCCTAAACTGTACATTTGCATTTCTCCCCCATATTACCATTATTTATACATTACTATCAAGTCAATTCAAGTTACTCCATGGTACTATGCATGCGCATACAGTCATTCCCAGTCAGTTCCCACACCATCACATTAGCTTTGTTATTTTCATTTATTTGTGAATGTAACTATGAATACCGTGGAGCGAAGCTCTCCAATGGCAGTATATAATTCAAAAAATATCTGTGAGTATGTTAACTTTTGTGTTTTTGTTGTCATTGTGCCTATTTAGGTATTCATAATCCAGCTAGCTAGCAACATTACAGCATGAAGGGGGATATTGGTTGAACCTCTCCCTGTGCATGAATGGAATAACAAGATAACAAATTAATTCATCACAGTTTGTGAATAGGACGGTATAATGGAGAGGGGTCACATAGGCGTGCATGTTTATTCCAGCATTGGCACCGCACTCTGGCTTTGGGACAGGGCACCATACTGTTATTACATAAGTGTGTAATCTGTATGTTTTTTCAGTGTGCATCTCGCTATGAAATGTTTTATATGCTGAAAGAATGTAAATTTCGTTCCCTGTTTTTTACCTCATGTGTATTAGTCCAGGGTGGGGTCTAGTAACGGAAGTCTATTTAGGGTGGCTGGCTAGCTCACTTAAGGGGGGCGACTTTCATAGAAGCTAGTTGCTATACCTGATATCTGTGCAAGCCTAAGTGTACACTCATTGCCCTGTGGAGACAGTGATATTACCCTGTAGGGCCTGCAGACAACTTCTGATCTGCATTGTTTGTTAACTTTGTTGTGTGTTTTTTATCTTTTCTGATGAACCTGTTTTGGGGCTTGTACAGTAGATACTGGTCACTTGAACACTGCTGCACTTTTGCAAATAAGGCTCATCACCTTTGGAAGCCATCCTGTGATGGCCTGTTCTTCCCTATGACCCATAAGCCATATTGCCTTCTTCACATGGGCTTAAGTTGTTTTTTTTTTATCTTACCAAGCAAAGAGGGTATGGACTTTCAAACTTTGAGACACATTTTGAAGTTTCAAGTGTAAATTTACCTGCTAAATGTGAACTAGTTAGCTATGTTAGTTTTAGAATAGAACATGTACAATTCCTTGATGGTAGTAATTAGTTTAGGCAATCTAAGAAAATAAAGGACAAGCCCCCAGTAAGACAAATAGTTTGCAAGTTTCTGTTTTATTCATCTACCTCTGTATGTGTAATGATTGTAGCTACAGCAAATGTGTGAACCCTGCAGGTTCCAGACACGGGAAGATGGCTGTTTCCCATCCAAGCCTGCCCTTTTTGCTCAAACCACATTACCTCTGACAGACCCGTCATCAATCAAAGGGGTCTCTTACTAGCTACAATAAACACATGCTATGACTGGCTGAAAGCTCAGTTTTTTATAGACAGGAATGTCCAATGGTGAGACTTGTTGTTTAGGACAATGGAGGATTTGTGATGATATAATGCAATACTTATACATGGATGAAAAGAGGAAGAAGATAAAGCACAAAATGGTCAAAGTCTGTATAAAGTTTTGTCAAAAGTCTTAACATTTAAACATAAAGTTTAGGTACAGAACTTTTACAGAAAGTTCTGCAAGAGAAGGTTTACATGGTACGTAATGTTGGTATGGACTGTACGAGTCATTTTGGTTACGTCATGATTATGTCAATTCTCTATTGGTATAGCAGTATGCTACCAACATCTAACTCAGCTGGATGGCATACCTGCCATCCTACACAGCTCATTAACCAAAAGGCTGTAATCTGATCCCACAGAGCAGCCATAATGTTCTTATAATCATGAGCTA